GAGCTTTCTAATATCTGATATCTTAAGACTGTAAATTCGCAGGGTCTCGAAAAGCCATAGAATGCTATATAAATAGCAGTTTTAATCACACGATTTGTGGGAATGTCAAATGGTTGATTATCCAATAAATCAGAGAGAGCCCTGAAAATTTGGCCATCGATTGGTAATCTAGATGACGTGGGGTTTGATCTGTTTTGTTAATGTCATTGAGTATAATCTTAATAGGGTAGGATATAAGGAAAGGTGCGTGATTAGGAAAAGTGGTTATTACGTGGTGTTGGATTCTGGTGAGATAAAGTTTAATTTTGTTGTGAGCTAATTTAAGGTGAAGATGGCAAAAAAGAAGCAAAAGCCGCCATTGATTCGATGGTGAACTTTGGTAGTATATCAAATTTCAATGTAAGGGCCTTATCATATGCTATCTGTGTGTTATCTGATAGTGCTGAACGTGCTAAGGATCATGCGTGATACAGAAGGTTGTCTAACCCATCACCAGTTCTTGGAATAGTGGAATTCTGGAAGAGAGTCTGTGAGCTGTGGGGTGCAGCTGAAAGAAAACCTGAAAATGAGAGCGTGGTAATGCATCAGCCAGTTTATCTATACCTGGAAAATGTTCACAGCAGAGGTAAAATTGAAATGAGGCAGCCAGCCAAGTCAATCTTCGGACCAATCTCATGATGGTCAGGGACGAGGAATGCCCCTTATTGATGATTTCTCATGCTGCCACATTGTCACAGAGACATTGAATAGCCTTCCCTATCCAATGATGCCCCCAAGTGTGCCCTGCTGCCACTGCTGGTCTCCTTGAAAGCTGTAAAGGAGAGGGGATTGAGGTATTCAATGGCATTATCTGACAGGCCCAGAAGCAGAAATTAACACTCTTCCCTGCAGGAAGATTCACATGGCAAAGTTAAGTGAGCCCAGTAATGACTGGAGAACCCTGCGTTTACACAAACCAACCCGCAGGAATTGGTTCATCTCAGCCTTGATGCGTTATTTGTTGTCAGGGAGACGCGCCTGTAATGCCACTGTGTCCAAGATGATACCTAAAAATACCAATCGGGTAATGGGGCCTAGTGTTTTTTCACTCGAAATGGGGATACCTGATGTGGAGAAAAAACCTATAGTGCTAAAAATGCTTTGGGGTGCCTGTGTACCTGATTCCACCAGTAAGAAATCGTTGAGATAGTGAATTACTGTGGGACAACGAAATATATTCACGAGCAGCCAGCAGAGGGTTTCTGCAAAATTATCAAACAATTTTGGGTTGCTCATGGAACCAAAAGTGAGCCTAGTATAAAAGTAATACTTCTCCCTCCATTTAACACTGTGAATATGCCATGGAGACGGATGAATTGGCAGCAGCTTGAATGCAGTGAAGATGTCAGTTTTGCTTAACCAATCATGCTTACGTGTCTGTAGAATGACCTGTATGGAATTGTCCACTGTGATAAGTAAATTAATGCTAGGCGTGAAGGAAGAATGAGAAGCCGAGAGATCAATGATTAGCCGTTTTTTATTTGATGAAGCATTGGTAACAATAACGATGAGGTTGGTTTGCCATGACTGGAAATGTGAGTGGTTGAAAGGGCCTAAAATAAAGCCTAATTGTGTTTCTTTGGCTACTACAGTGTCTTCTGTCACTGGATCGGAATAGGCTGACAACAAGTTTGGGCATTATAGTGTGCTGGTGGGGAGTGCCACAAGACCTGTCTGAAAATCTTCGGAAAAACATGACACCAAGAAATCTACCAAGTGGGGTGAGAGTGCAAGTGATATGTGAGATTATCCATATTAACCTCCGTACATCATTTCCTAGGGATCAGTTTGGAGGGGCACATGGTTTTGGCATGTGCCCTTAAAGGACCACTATAGGCACCCAGACCACTTCAGCTTAGGAGGTTTTATTTGGTATGTTGGGTGTGTATTAGGGCCTACCATCTGACCTTGCGTTTGATATCTGTCGGGAGGATTACTGGGGGACCGGGTGAGTCTCAGGGCAGGCTACTGTTCGGGTTAAGAGGTGAGTGCCTGTGTGACGTCTGTATGGTATAGCGTCAGTGGTCATGTTGGGCTGTGGTGCGGGTGCAAGGGGGGGGTTGGTGACAACTGTGGGGTGAGTCTGGGGGCACCCCCGATTGTGCTTGTCTGCTGTGGGATATCTGTGGGATTGCAAATGGTCATGTTATGGTGGGAGGGGTTGGTCTCCTCGAGTCATGTGTCCGAGTGTCTGTTGGTAGCGTGGGCCTAGCTATACGCCTGTGCTGGTGTAAAAAAATAATGATGAATAATACTGAAATAGAGATCGAGAAGTGAGAGGGAGCTTTGTCCAATAAAGAAAAAGAAAAGCAAAAGTCAAAACATCTTTGGGTCTCTGTGTTTCGTGGTCCAGTTTCAGGGACCTGAGTGGTCTGGAGTCAGGCCAGTCCTTTCTCAGGTTGTGATTGCTGCATATGCTTCAGCCGTGCCTTTCCTTGGTACGAATGTTTTGCTCGTTGCCGGGTTCCATGGATGTGTTGCTGGGCCCATTCCGCTGGTGTCCGGTTGGGGCGAGGGGTTGTCTGCTAGGCCCAGTTGGCTTAGGAGGTTGAAGATTTATTTTTAGTCTCTCCAAAGAGGATTTTATCAAATGGTGAATTAAATTATCAATAAGTAAATTTTTTAAAAAATTGTATCAACCCAAAAAAGATCAAAAGGGTCAAAAGTATCACATAGGCTCTTTTCATATATATACCATGCTTTCAGCTTTGATTTATTGTTTCCCCATTCTAAGTAGTGTGGATGGTAAAGAGGATTCAGGGTTTGTTAGAGTCAAAATTATGTCGTCAGCGAACATAGTTATTTTTTGTTCTTGATTACCTAAACTCACCCCAGTTATATTATGGTATTTGTCTTATATACGCTGCCAGTGGCTCAATAGAAATAATCTAAAGAAGAGGTGCCAATGGGCATCCCTGATGAGTTCCATTTTTAATGGTAAACCAAACAGAGTCTAAACCGTTGCCATATATTTTTGCAATAGGAGAAGAGTATAAAGACATTTTTAAATCTTTAAAAAGTCCCTCAATCCCAAATGCGGAAAGTGTAGCTGATAAAAATGTCCAATTTACCCTGTCGAATGCCTTTTCGGCATCGACTGCTATAAAAACTGTAGAGAGAGATTTTTTTTTTTTTACCAACTTCTATCATCATATTCAGAATCTTACGAATATTGTTGCAAGCTGATCTTCCACTTATAAAACCAGATTGGTCTAAATTAATTAGATCTGAAATTATCTCGGTCAGTCTGTCTGCTAGGATTTTTGAAAATATTTTTACATCAAGATTAATGAGAGAAATGGGACGGTAATTGGATATATAATGTAAATCTTTCCCGGGTTTTGGGATTGGGGAGATCGTAGCTTTTAACATTTCAGAGGAAAAGCTATTGAAAATTGTTATGTCTAGAAATGTTTTTAATAGTAGAGTGGTTATTACGGTCTCAAAAGATTTATAAAAATATTCTGTAAATCCATCCAGACCAGGTGCTTTCCCATTACTAAGCTTGTATAATTGTATATAAAGGTTTGCTAGAATTGCACCTTTTAGTCTCCCTGATTTTAGCTCCCATTTGAATTAGGTTCCCCCTCATAACACATTTAAAAGTTAGCCATTAAGTTTCATTAGAAACTTGTTCATTATCATTAATTTTAATAAATTATTTTGCCACATTTTCAAGATGCTTCCTGGTTTTTTCGGATGTTATAATTTATTCATTTAAATGCCACTGAGGACTAAGATTGTATTCTGGATTGTTTTCCAATACTACACTAATAGGGGCATGGTCGGACCAAACAATAGGTCCAAATTCCGAACTTGGAAATTTCCTCAGATTTACCATATCTGTTACAAAGAAATCTATTCTAGAATAACTTAGATGGACTTTAGATAGGAAAGTAAAATATCTTTCATTTGGCTGTTGTACCCTCCAAATATCAAATAACCCAAAGTCAGCAAGAAAATCCTGGAACCAAGTATACTGCTTTTTATAAGGATAGTTTAATTGTTTAAGATCCCTAGATCTTCTGTCCAATTTTGGGTCCTGGATGGTGTTCCAATCCCCTCCAATTAATAATACCCATTTTTTTATTTTTTCAATCTTTCCAAAGAGTTTCCTATAGAATGTTTCTGAGAATACGTTGGG